TTCACACTGTTGCCTTATAATGCACACTGTTGCCTTATAATGATTTTGAAATCCAATAAAAACTGAAACTTTTTCATATGAACTAGCATTTAGCCACATTTCCCCAGTCCTATAGTTGCATGGTTGATTTTTTGAACCTATGTAAAAGTTGCATTCATCCCTACTAAATTTAATTTTATCAGATTCAGTTCATAATTCTGGCCTTTGTGGATCTTTCTGGAAATTTATTCTATGAACCATTATGTTACATAGCCATATAAGCTTCATATCATCTATAAATTTGATGGCACGACTTCTATACCTTCATCTAAATTACTTTTTTTAAAAAGGATGGAACAGAGAGGGGCCAAGGATAAAATCTATGACACTCTGTAAGAGACGCCCCCTTCAGTTTGATATGTACCAACCTATTCAGTTCTAGAAAGATTCTAGGAAGTTAAAATGGCATTAAAGAAGTCAAAGACAGGAAAAGTAGCTAGACCAGGATCAACTGTATACAGAAAAAAATCTATATAGAAATCAACACAATTTGGTGGACATTGAGATATATATCCACTGGACATCTAAGAGAAGAAACATTACCTATTATTGATTAGAAAAAATCATAATATCATTGCCAAAAAAGGAAATGAAGAAGGCATTAAGAATTACTGAAATATACTTATTTTCTCACCTCTACAAAAATCTTTATCAGAATAAAGTACACACATATACAGAGTATCTTTCCTAAAAATATGGAAAGGGAACAGGTAAGCTTTCACAAACAATATTTTTCAACTAACCACATCTTTATAGTCACACAATTAACTGAAAAGTGCTGAAAACACAAAACTGCACTATGCTTACTATTTGTTGATTATTTTTTAAAGCAGTTGATTTAGGAAATTGTAAATTTACTGCATAGTACATTCAGAGTAAAATGTAATATAAATGACAAATGCATATAACCTAAATTGACATATTCATGGGAGACATCTCCAACAAGTTTCCCTCGCATGCACAAGTCAAAATCATATTAAATTCTTTAACAGATCCAACAAAAACAAAGTCTTTATTTGAGATGTTAGCCACTGTCATGGAGATATACAGAGAAAAATCCAAATGGAATTGGTATTTCCCACAGATGATGAGGTGCTGATTACAACAAACCTTAGGGTACTATATAGCTTCATGAATGAGTCCCACAACTACACAAAAAGACTTCAGAATAACAATCAACATGAGAAAACCAGGAGGATTTATGAAGTATAAAGTCTACATTATGATCATGAAGTTGGATGGATATCCATATGGGCTGGTCCATCAGTACATATAACTTGTACAGACAATGAACAGAACCCAAAATTAAATCAAAACACCAAGCTGGATTGTTTTGGAGAAATTGTACAATGCTTTCAATAATCTCAGACTGCTTCATGAAACAAAAATTCATCTTTTTAACATGAGAACTTTTCAGGTGATGTTAGATGGCTCTTAATCATTTATCAGCATAATCTCTGAAAAATAAAAATTGTGAGTAACCCAAAAAGGCAGTAGACAGATGTATGGTGGGCATGTATACTAATGATGGCTTATATGCAAAAAATGGTATAAAAGTTAAAATCCAGGAAATGTATGGCAGAAAAAGATACTAGAGCAAGAGGGAGGGATAACAGGTGGCTGGCCCAGGTACTATACTGATTCCCAGTTAATGTTAAAAGACTTTAGAGGAAGCCCTCCAGAATGTTAGGTAAATCCTCCATGGAGGATTAGCAGTAGAACATGGACAAAAGTCAGAATGAATGAGAAGGTATTACTGGTCTGCAACATAAAGAGTTGAAAAAAATACCTACATCAATAAGCTGATAGATCAGGGGTGGGGAACCTGCAGCCTCGAGGCCATGCGTGGCCTTCTGCATTAAGTTCCAAATTAGAATAAGAAGAGGCATCAATTCACAGTCAAATATTTTTAACTAGAATATAAATATTCTCCAGGGAAAGAAAACACTTAATAATCCAAACTTCTGGATTCAGTGAAAGGGCAACACTTGAGGACCTAGAGGGCCCCATGTGGCCTTGAGGCCTCAGGTTCCCCACCCCTCCAATAGAGCCATTGAAGTTATATTGAAGTATTTAGCCCTAATAACTTTTTCCAAATTATACAGGGGGAAAAAAAGCCTTCCTTTTTATTTACTTTTATTCAAAGACAGGTAGTTTATGACACTCACACCACATCTGAAGTAACTTTAAGTTGCACTACCAAATGTACCTTTTTTTCACTCTCTTCCTTATCTTTCCCATGACTTTTCTCTTATCCCATTCTCTCCCTCATCTTCTCTCTTTCATTTTCCTTTCTTTATATCTGTGTGTGTGTGTATGTATACACACACATACATATGCATACACATACATATATACATATACATATACATATACATATACATATACATATGCATATCTACAAGGTTAAAGAGGTTTTTGATCCTTGCTTTAGAGTCATGCCAAGACACTGAAGGACCACTGGGGTGCAGGACTGGGAGCCAAGATAACAAGAGATGAGCAAGAGCTGAGGACCCCATGACTACCACATTCATCTTTGTTTTCCACACAGTACCTTGTAGATGATAGGCACTTGGTAAATGTCTGCTGAATGATCAAATGAGTCATAAATAATAAACCAAGAGTCTGAATAGCAGGGACTAAGGACAGAGATCAAGCAGTCTTCAAATATGGTAGTCAGAAGCATATTGACAAACCTTAAGACATGGAATCAATCAAGATAAAGCAAGCAAATCAGAGTCTATGGCAAGCAAGAGTCAGGAATACAGAGTCTTCGTTAATCAATGGAGGATATAGCAAAGAAGAGTAGAAATAAGACAGTGAACATGATTCTAGGGTAGGATCTGTTGGTCCTCTAGAAGCTGTTATATTTCGCACTGGCTTAGATGACTGAAGTTTCATAAGTATTTTCTAGAGGAAACCAGAGCCACATAAGAAGTCAGTTTCCTCTGATTCTAGCTGAAGCAGGAGCATAGAGAAACACCCTACACTCAGCAGAATACAGAAAACCAGCAGAATTAGAATAAGAAGAGGCATCAATTTACAGTCACATATTTTTAACTAGAATATAGATATTCTCCAGGGAAAGAAAACACTTTTAATAAATAATTCATGAAATGGAAACCTATAATATTTGAAGCCAACTGAATCTTTTATTTTCCCTCCCCTTCCATTAACCTTACTCCCTTACTACCAGAGGAGAGCAGTTTTACATCTACTACATTCAGAATCACCAACAGGTAGCAACACTTACTCTACAACTCTTATAGCTTCATCAAAAAACAACAAAGTTGACAAACAAAACCTAGAATACCGTCATAAGCAAGTGGGCCCAAATCTGTATTCTTATTTCTGGCCCCTACTCCCATGATATGGCTATATTCCCTGCTATCTCACTGCCAGGAGAAGCCTATAAGCAAGAATGACCTGTAGTCTGAATCTTATGAATAGCATAAAAATCAACCAATGTCGTGTCTCCCCCAGATCATCTTAAGTAAAGTTGAGGAGCAATAGTGCTGGACTTGAAGTTAGGGAGACTGACATTCAAATCCTGCCTCTGACATTACTACCTTTGTTACCCTGGGTAAGTCACTTCATCTCTCTCCACCTCAGTTTCTTCATCTGTAAAATGAAGACAATAACAGCACTTACTTCACTGGGTTGTCATGAGGATGAAATGAGATAGGATGTGCACAATGCTTTACAAACTTTAAAGAACTATGTAAAGGCTAGCTATTATTAGATGGTCTCACATATCCCTTCTGACTCTGCATTTGCTAAGTGTTACCAGTTCTACCTCTGCAATACTTCCCGCAGACCATACAGAAGACACGAGTTCAAGTGTGAGATCTGATACTTCTGGCTGAATGACCCTGGGGAAGTAAGTCAGTTGAGGGTAAGTACTCAGGGGTAAAATGAGGAGAATCACAACTTCACCATCTCCTTCACAGGGTGGAAGGCCTTTCCCACTGCTGGTCCCTTGTAATTACACTGTATGTATTTTACAGGTACATAGTTGTTTGCATGTGTCTCCCCCATGTGACTTCAAAAGTCTTAAGAGCAGGTGTTTTGTGCTCCAGACTTTGGCAGAGCAAATTACAAGTTGTTTGAAGAAAGGATGAGTAAGAGCCTATGGCTTAAAATTCTATAGAAGTATGCTTAAAGGGGGATGGGAAACTTAAAAAGGAAAATTTGAAGACCAAAAGGGAAAGCATTCTCATGAGTAAGAAAAAAAAAAAAGAAAAAAGAATTGTCTTAAGAGACTAATGTGGATGCACATCAACCATTTAGATCTGAAAAAGATATGCACAGAAGACTGAATCTGACAATAAATACAAAAGATAGGATGATCCTCTAAGAGCAGGCTCATCAGGAGAGCTAACTTTCAGAATTTTCTGAATCTAGCAAGAAAAAAACGGATAAAAGGGAACGTAAAGTTATATCAGGGAAAGATGAGGATCAAAGAGGGACAGGACTCCTGCTGGGGTAGATCGGGAAATGACGACTGATAACAGAAAGAAGGCAGAGTTTCTCAAATCTTACTTTGTTTCTATTTTCTATGCCAAAGACAATAACCTTTGCACTGGGAAGAACACATCGAATATTGCAAATACAGTTGATATTCAAAATAAGCAAGGGATAATAAGAGTGGTTAGCTACTTTTGATGAATTCAAGCCACTTGATTCAGATGAACTGACTGTAATTGAACTGATAAATCAGAAAAATGCTGCAGTTATAATTTATCTAGATTTTGGTAAAACTTTTAATAAAGGACATTATGTTAGTCTTACAAAAATAATGGAAAAATGTATCCTGGCTGATGAGATAATTATATGGATGCAAAACTAATTATATGTCATAATTAGGTAAACTGATATAAATTTGTGTTTGAGAAATACTTTTTTAGATACATAGTTCTGCAACTTCATAAATTAAACTAAACTTCTGAAAAAGTACTTACTTTATTTTGGCAGATCTGATGGGCTGATCTTGAATGGATATCTGGGATCACTGCTGCACTGCAATCTACATTGAGATCGAAAACTTCCAAAGCTTTGTTACTCCCAGTTGTGAGAACAATATCTACAATACTCTGAGTTAAGATCAATTTATAAGATGCTAGTTCTTGAGGTAGGGGAGTTTCTCAAGATCTTATCAATAGAGGGGCACCTAGGTGGCTCAGTGGATAGAGCACCAGCCCTGAATTCAGGAGTACCTAAGTTCAAATCTGGCCTCAGCCACATAACACTTACTAGCTGTGTGACCCTGGGCAAGTCACTTAACCCCATTGCCTAGCCAAAAAAAAAATCTTATCAATAGAAACTGAATAGTTCCTAATTTTTAAAATAACTCTTTTTGGAAACAAAGATGAATACTAAAGTGGATCATCATTTTAATAAAGATTTTTTGAAATTATATCAAAATAAAAAATGAATCATGAGTGAATTTGAAATAAAACAAGATAATTATTTGTTACTGGTTATAAAAACAAATATATAGATATTTGTGTAAACTGAGATTAGTGATTTAACAAGTCTGGTTATCTCTTTTCTTCTGGCCACCAAAGGTTCTCCCCTAAGTTACAATATAAAACAATTGGAGGATGTAGAGAGGAGTAACTGGAAAGATAGGAAGGGATCAGGTTGTGAAAGGTTTTGAACACCAAACTGAGGATTTCATATTTGATTCTGTAAGTAAAAGACAAACACTGCGGGGGGGGGAAGAAATAACATCATCAGATCTGTGCTTCAGAAAGATCTGTTTGAAAGCTGAATTAAGGATAGACTGAAGAGGGCCTTGAGACACAGAGAAAAATCAGCAGGCTATTGCAGTAGTCCTAGCAGGAGGTAATGAATGCCTACACTAAGGTGGTAGCAGTATCAGAGGACAGAAGGAGGCATATCCAAGAGATGTTTTAAAGGTTGAAATGACAAGAAAAATAATAAACCCTAGTTTGTGTTAATGACATTATCTTTCAAAAGGGAAGAGGAACAAGGAAGGAAAACTGCTATTCTCTTGCTGATTCTGAACAGATTGTCCCTATAATAAAATACACGAGATATATATATATATAGATAGATAGATATATAGATAGATATATATATACACACATACACATACATATATATACATATATATGTATGTATGTATGTACATATATATATACATATTTATCTTCTCCTCACCTGTCTTCTCCTCTCTCCTTCCCTCCTTTCCCCTCTGTGTTTGCCTCTGTCTCTGCCTCCCTTGTTGCCCTGAATCCAACTTAACCTGTCTTCTTCAGTCACCATATTTTCCAGAAGCACTGGACCTAGAGTATGCAGGAGGCTGTGAATGTGCCAAGGACAAAGCGCCCTCTCCCCACCCCCGCCAGCTGACACGATTTGTTGTCACACCCCAAGCTGGAATCCCTGTGTATCCTAAGGAGGCAAGATAGGTGTGGGCTGGTTTGTGCCAGGCTGGGATAATGCTTGTGCAGCTGGGGTCCTTTGCAGATAAGCCAACTTTCCTATCTTCACAGTCTAGCAGTTCCCAAGGGAAAAGAATGCAGCTTTTGCCATCACCTTGTTCCTCCCCTTGAGGAGTGGTCTTGTCTTTTTTCCCACCATTGCTGTACCTTTCCCCTTCCCATGCCACACTACCTCCTGGTATCCCCTCCTACCTTTGCCCTGTTATTATAAAAATGCAAATTTCTGTAAGGACGGTGAACTCTTTGCTCTGGCTTTGATTTCCACATGTATGTTCATTCCTCTTGTAATAAACCTAGTTTTCATATGAATTTTGTGAAGGTGTGATTTTTTTTGTTGACATCTTCTCTCTCTCCCTCTCTCTCTCTAGATATACATATATAAATATATATAACACCAACATCTAACACAATGTCTGGTACATAGCCTGGTACATACCACATTAGTAAATTATGCTGCCTGAAAAGACTTTTTTTTTCTAAAGTAAAAAGGAGGAACCTGGCTATAAGTTACCACTCCATTTTAGATTTTGTGATGGAGAGAGTCAAACTATGCACAGTCTTAGATGCTGCTTAAATTTGAGGAGAGCAGATTTCAAAAGCTTCATTGAAAGGATAACTAAGATTTCAAGTGTAGTGGGGAAGATTAATAAAAAGATAGACTAATAAATTGAGGCCCATATCTCCCTTCTCCCAAAGACCTTTAATCAAATGTTAAGGCATCAGTAGCAAAAATAATGAGAAGTTAATGTTTTGTCCTAGGTAGGCTTACAATAACTGCACTCACACTTTGAAAAGCATACAAGACCTTAAGTAGCTTACATCTTAAGTGAGCTATTTACAGATAGCAAAAGATGGGAAAGGAGAAGCAATCTGTTCACAGTTTATAAAAGAAGTATATAGAACTATGTATATACTTCATTGTTCTGTTAGGAGGTAGGAAAAACTTCCTCTATCAGCTCAGTGGAACTACAGTAAATCTTTAACATTTATTTAACTTTCATGACTTTTAGCATTCATATGATTTTATTAGTAACCTCATTATCACTGTTGCATTGACAACCATGAACTTTCACGGCTAGGTGAAGTACAGAAAAAATGCATACAAGTTTGTGGAGCAACTGGTATCCTCCTAGGTGCTTCACTGGTCTTGTTTAGCCTACTGTTGTAAAGAGCTCCCTGTGCATCTGTTGCATATTTTCATTGTTTGCCTTTAAGACTTAAGTTTTATATTGCAATTATGCCCCCCAAAACCTAGTGCAAGTCCTTTGGGCCCTAAGCCAAGCTTTCAAAGTCAACAATGTAGCTTAGCGAGAAAATAAAGGTGTTAGATAGACTTTGTGCTGGAATGTCTGCAGCCACAAATTTGGTGTTACTGTGTTAGGAAAAGTGCATATTATCAGAATTAATGTTTTGTTATAATGAATTATATGCAGAAAAGTACATTTTCAAGCAATCTCTGGCGAAAAAATTAGCTTTTGGTGGTTATGGGAACCTAACTTCCTATTTCCCATAGGAAATGCATCAACATTTGCATTTTTTTTTTTACTTTTCATCATCTTCTAGGAGCATTACCCCTGCAAAAGTTGACAGATTGACTATACAGGGAAGCTCACTGTTGGTTTGCTGAATGATCTGCCATACCTGGTGGCCTTTAAAAAGCAAGCTAAAAAGTTCTTCAGAAAACAGAGATTCATTTTTGTTAGCTGAAAGGGAATAATCCCTGGTGATCAAAAGTGAGACAGCTATGAAGGAAGAATCCAGATCTTGAGCATAAATTATACAATGCCTTTTCCCTTGTGCCTCTTACAGAATGCCACATGTAGGGGAAACAAGAGTTCCCTATCCTCTACCCTCAGGGGCAATGGCAACTTGCAGTTAACATCCTGTATAGCAGGCAATGCTGCACCCAGCAGAAAGCAGGTCCTCAAAATATATGTGAGGAGATGCAGTAAGTTATGGAGAAAAGAAAAGAAGTGTAAGTTTCAGGAATCTGGTGAAGCAACAGCCCAAGCAGAAACCCTTCACAAAATGGTAGCAGCAACACGCCACCATGAGATGACCTCTGGGCCCTATAGTGCCAAAGGAGTAAACTGCCTTAGTCACGTTCATTCACTATGTATATATCACTTTACTAGTACAACATATTCTATGTATGCATATATATATGTGTGTGTGTGTGTGTGTGTATGTATATATATGTATATATGTGTATCTATATATACATATGTATGTGTGTATACATATATACATATATTTGTGGCAAGAATAGTGTACCCCAGGCTTGGGGGGCTAAGGGAAAGATATCTTATAGCTACTTTTCCTATAACACCATTTCATTAAATGCTTTCTTTTGATCTAAGCATGTCAACAAAATAAATCACCAGTGGAGGCTCATAAATTATAGTTTTTAGATGAGAACCAGAGTTCCTTGAACTTGGGGCAATTGTTCCCTTGGTTAGTGTAACCTATGAATGTCAGTTCAGAGGTGGCTACCCAGAAAAAGAGGTGTTATATGTAAATTAAAAGTCTGCAGAGCAAGTGGCTATAAATTTAGAAGATATCTAGTGGAATGTCCCAGAGATCTATGCTTGGTCCTGAGATGTTTAATATTTTTATAAATGACTTAGATAAAGGTATATAAGTCAGGCTTGTCACACTGAATGACAGAATAATGATACAAAAATGTAAATATCGAGTTAAATCACTGGGCCAAATCTACTAAGAAGTCATTTATAAAAGATAACCATAAGGTCATTCACTTGGGTTTAAGAATTCACCTTCAAAAGTACAAGAAGTGGTTAGTATGGCTATATAGCTGGTCATCAGAGAAAGATCAGGTGGATTAAAGGACTAATATTAATAACTAATAATAATTCAATATGAGTTAATAGTGTGATATAGCTGACAAAAAAAAAGGATTATAAACATTGGGTTATGTTAAGCAAAATACCACTTCCGGGAACAAAAAGCTTATATGTCAGTGCTGTATTCTATCCTAGTCAGACCATATCTGGAATACTAAATTGAGTTTTGGGCATCACACTTTAGGGATAACAGTGAAATGCTGGAAAATATTCAAAGAATAGCCAGGTCAGAAAAAGGCCTTACTTATATCATGACATAAGAGGAGCCAGGGAAGGAATTTTCTCATTTACAAAATGAGGGAATTGGAATGGGTAACCTCTATCATCCCCTATGATCCCATCATCTTACACTGAAGATGTTTAGAACAGAAAAGAGACTAATGAAGACATAATAGATCAAGTATTTGAAAGGTTGTCACTTAGAAGATGATTCAGATTTGTTCTGCTTAACTAGGAGAAATTAGTAGAAGCTACTTTAAGGAAGACCTACACTTAATGTAAAGAAAAGTTTCTTAACAATTAAAATTTTCCAAAAGTGGGATTGCACTACACTGGTGTGTACGTACTTCCCCTCACCAGAAGTCTTTAAACAAAGGCAGAATGAACACTTGCAGGTATACGCGGCAGTTGGAGGGGTTGGGGGTAATGCACTGGGACTAAAATCTGGAAGATCTGAGTTCAATTCTGGTCTCAGAAATCTAGTAGCTATGTAACCCTGGGCAAGTCATTTAGCTTCTGCCTCAGTTTCTTCAATTGTAAAATAAGGATAAAATAATGCCTACCTCGCGGGGTTGTTGTGAGGATCAAATGGGATAATCTTTCTAAGGCATTTAGCACAATGCTTGGCACATAGCAGATGCTTAATACTATTTAACTATAATAAATGTTTGCTTCCTTCCCTTGTTCTTCCCTCTCTCCCTCCCATTGTAATGGAATTCTTTCTTTTTTTTTTTCCATGAGGCAATTGGAGTTAAGTGACTTGCCCAGAGTCACACAGCTGGTAAGTGTTATGTGTCTAAGGCTGGTTTGAACTCAGGTTTTCCTGACTTCAGGGGCCAGCATTTTATTTACTGCACCATCTAGCTGCCCCCATAAAGGAATTCTCAATCAAGTACATAGCGAATTTAACAGACTCTGAGTCCAGTCCAAATTGGAGATGGTGGGATTCATTAGGGATTCTTATTTATATGCTTCCATAAATTTTATTTATTTCATTCACTCATCCATAAAGGATCCTCTTGATACACCCCAAGCCTTCCTCTGGTCCATTTAGTATTTGGTGGGTACCAGTGCAAAAATGCATCTGCCCATCTTCTATCCCTGCCACTTTCTATGTAGTTGGCTTCCTTCCTTTTGCAGTCATGTGTGTCTTCAAGAGTATATTTTACAACACTTCTCATATGGCTTTCTTTTTCAACCATGGTAGTCATGAAACTAATCCATTACTGCTATGAAAAATGATCATTGATCAATATTGGGTAGAGTCTTTGGAGTCAGTGGAATGGATTTAAAAATTAGTCCTACCCAATTACAACCTAGAAGCCAAAAAAAAAAAAACCTAAGTCTTTATCACTAATAGGAAAAAGCCTAAAAGGCTTAATTTTCATAGAAGCACAAATATAAATAATGAAAGGATACAGGAATAGAAATCATTTATGGCTGAAAGACTGGTAATCTCTACAGCTGATGTCATGGAGAACTTCTTAACAAGTTTGGCTTTGTTCTTTTGTTTATATCTGCAAAAGACAATAATGTTTCCAGTTAACTTGTACTGTTGATATCTTTCCATTAAACCTAAATCCCAATAGTTACACATGTATTATTCTGCTAATACTACATGAAATACAGAAGCAAGTTTTAAGATTTATCATATTGGTTAATTAAAGCAATATCAATTAAAATAGAGTTCCTATTTATAGCACAAAGAAAATAGTTGAATGAAGGGAGAGAAGGATAAAATTCTGAAAACTATATACATGTATATATTATGTGTATCTAAGATGAATGGAATTCACCCTTCATTGGCACAGAAAATTCCCTCCTCAATTTATTTAGAATTGAATAACTATGCATAAGGATTGCTTTCCTACCCACCACCAGTCCCCAGGATTAGAAGTAATTCATGTTTCCATATAAAACTGAATCTTAGATACTTACAAAATTGTACAGGAAGCTGTAAACTGGCTTTTAAAAAAAAAATAAGTGATGCATACATAAATTACAAGTGCCTACTAACAGGGAGAATAAGCTGCCTATATCTGATGTAGGTTTGGGGAAGAACTGAGGAGTTATCTTGGGCTAAGAACACAACAAATGAAGATTCCCAAGTGAACTACAATGAGGAGAAGAAAAAAAAGTGGGAAAGCTTAAGGACTATAAAAAGAGGTCATCACAAATGAGAAAAATAATTGTTCATGCTTGTATAATGCATTATGGTTTGTAAAACTCTTTATAGCCTACACTAACTTTACTAATCCCATTTTATAGTTATGGAACTGGGCTTTAGAGAAGCTAAATGACTTGTGGAAACTCAAACAGTATTTAAGTGGCAAATTTAACTATCAAGCCAGCACTTAGTTTGGTTTGGTTTTTAACAATTTCATACTGCCTTCCTTCAAGACAAAGCTGGTGGAAACAGTATTCTGGGATTGAAGTATTACTGGCAGATAATGAAACTAAGGATCAACAGGTTGACAATCCAACTGTAACACTTGTTAGAAGACCCTAGTCAGTGTCAAAACCATAGCAGATCAATGGACTTTGGGACTTAAGTGAGCTGACTCTGATTAATATAATTACAAAGGCTACTATTCACCAGTTTTCTCATCTGCTAAATGAAGATAATATTTGTACAACCAATCTCCATTGTGTTGTTGTGACGAATATTTCAACAAAGGAAGGAAGGTTTAAAATAATGTGTATTATAAATATGAAAAATATTCTTCTATTATCCAGTTTTACCAAGTGTTAGTTTTATTAGAATTTGAGAATAATTCTATTCAATTTTGTGATATAAAAAATGTAGATTTGCAAATATTATGCTTCTGGGAAATATAATTTTCTTTAATCCTACAAGAATGTACAGATTAATACAAATATTTTAAATACAAAAAGAATATTTCACCTACCTTTTGATCTCATCTTTATCTGTGTCAATATGATATTTTAGTAGGTGAAATTCAGAGCCAGAGGATAGTAATATAAAAGCATCCATATAATAAAACTGTGTGACTCGTACAGGTTTACTTAATACATCCTTGCCCTGAAATGCAAAAGTTGGAATTATTTCTAAAATATAACCAAACCATTATAGTATCAATAAGCCCTGTTACAAATATTTGATGTTTTTATTTTGACTCCTAAGTTGCAATCCATCCACGGTTACAAACATGATTTGTTGAGTAAAAATTATAGTATCTTTCTATAAATAACCATCCTCATTTGGAAAAAAAATATGTAATTCTGACTACTGCTCCTAAAAGTGAATGTTTTAATTTTTGAGTTTTTTTAAATTTCTAACACATGAAACTAGGCAGTAAAGTACTTGTTAGTAAATAAGTGTTTCATTAAAATCAGTTCTATTTTTTGTTCAAATCCTCCTGATACTTTATAATGTTAGTCTGAAGTTTTTATCACCAAATGTATACCACATAATGTGTATAACTACAATTTATGGGTTGCAGCATTACCAGCATCTCTTAAAAAAATCATCTAACTTTTGAAGTCTCATCCTCACTTCGGTCACCTCATCTTGCCTAATAAAATGTCTTCTTTATTCCTCTTTCTTCCTCTTTTTGCATTCAGTAAATGTCAAATCATCTTTAAATTTGTACCATTTTTATGTCATATACCTCCTGTAGCACCTTCCCTGGCTCTTTTTACATCATGAAAATGAGCTGAGTTTCTTGTTATTACCCTGAAAGATCACTACCACACTAATCTTGTACACAAAACTTCATCATCCACTAATCTGTTATTTTGGTTCAAAACCTGCATATGAATCTCATCTCCTTCTCATTCTATACTTTTACATTCTATATGGCTACCTACAATTTTCCCTAAGTAACTGACTTTTCTCCATCATAATGTACTTTATTCATATAACTTTTTCTGGTCTATTAACATTTCCCCAACCATAAAATGGTATTACAATACCAGACATGGAAAGCAAATTCACTTATACTATCATAACACAAATAACTGTCTTCTCAACTTGTTTCAACCATTTTGTCTATCTCAGATTATAACTTAATAATTTACAGACCTGTCTACCTCAATGTATAGAACACAAGAATCAATGCATAAACATTTAAAATAAACAACAAATTTTCAATACATGCAAACAAAACTACCCCTAGTGCACTCATATTTTTAATCCTCTAATACATTAAAAATGATAGAACAATTGAACAGTATTTCAGCTTACAAGTGTTTATAATAGCTCAGAGTTTTATGGTCACAAAACTGTTCATTTGGACATGAAAGAATGCATTAGATATGAATTATTCATTACCAGAAATACCGTAGACTCTGTAGTCCTAACTGACCAGATCCTTAACGTTCTGTCTTCTGAAGCAGAAACCAACCATTTCCTGTCATGACTCCAGCCAACTGAGGTCACTGCTCCATCATGACCTTAAGTGGAAAACACAGCATGAAAACATCTTAACACAATTTCTGACATCCAGACATTATAACAAGCGAGTCCCAGTTTGCCTAATATTTTTGTGTAATTCACTAGAAATGGCATTCTCAAGCGATAAATAATGAAATCAGCAGCATTTTCTGAAAATTGTCTAGTGCTCTTAAGATCCTGGATAATATAAAATTACAGTTTGGTGAAACTCTTATAAAATCTTTCAAAACCTTTTTTGTGATCATCGCTTCTGGGTCTAGATGTTCGCTGACCATCCCTTTCTCCCAGTTTTGAAAAATCAGGTCATTTGTCTTTCTTCAGTCCAGCAGCACCCTTCCCATTCTCAACAATCTATAAAACAGCAGTGCAGTGATGGCCAACACATCTTTCCATCTCCCAGGATAGATTTCATTTCGGCCAGGTGATTTGAACTTGCTAAGGGTATCTAGGAGTTCTCGTTATGTTCCTATTTATAATGGATGTCAAATCTCTGTTACCCATGCTTGTTCTCTTCTTTCCAGTCCAAAGGCTATTCTCCTTGGCAAAGAAAACAGGGGCTAAATAAAACTTGAGAACCTCTGTCTTCTGCCTGTTGTCACTGATCATCTCATCTACTTCGAGCAACTGTTCTATTCTTTCTTCAATCTCCCTCTTGTCCTCCTTATAGTTAAATGTGTTGTCCCTAATTTTCTAGCCAGCCACAGCTCACTGTGAGCCTCAGAACTTGTGACACTCTTCTTTTGGTACCATGCCATGTTTCTGCATTTATCCCATTAACAGGGATAGAGTATAACTCTATAATAGACTGGGGGACCAGCACATGTACAGAGGGCCTCTGACAGGATCTCCCTGTCGGAGGTGAGGCTGAATAGTCTGCTTCCAGGAGAGAAGGGGGGCAATATGCAAGGGACATGCCTTGGAGAGACTAAGAAGCATGTAAAAGCATTCTGTAAATTGGTTCCAGTCTGCTGACCCCTGCAGTCAGAAGGTATCTCTTCCATGAGCTGTACAGCCAGCACTGAGAGGGCCTGCAACAAGCATCAGGAAGCAAATCCTCTGCCATTTTTGTGTCTTTAGTTGTTCTTCTGGTCGATGTCTCCCTTGGTTTAACTCTTTGACTGACTTCATCCATCAAGAGACAATGCTGCAAAAGGAAATACATTGGGCTTTCTCCCCTCCAAAGCCATTTGGCCTCTAAGTTGGTGCTTTTTTGTTTTAGGTGAAGGGATTAGGGCCTCTTGAGTTTCAAAAGGTCAGGACAAAGAGCCTCTAGGTACCCTGGTATCCCAGAATCGCAGCTTCTAGGCGTTGTAGCCAGCTCAGCATCAACACCCTGGGAAACAAAGAATGACCTTTGGGACCCAGACCTGAAGAACCTAAAATGAAGACTCATCAAACAGTCATGCTGCATCGGGCCTTGAACTTGTTATGTAGGAATTAAGCCAATTTTGAGAACTCTCCCAGAAGGTAAGGCAAGATCAGGAAGACAGTGTCTCTGAAATGTTCTGGGAAAGCATTTGTACTTTTGTTCTAGCTTTATGTTTGAAGTAAATAACCCTTTGCAAATGCTAATCAATGTTAAGTGGTTAAATGGAACAGGGGCACTGGAAGTTTCTGCACATAAGAATTTGAGGGAGGGAGAGAAATTCAATGTGTGGACGTTCAATCCGATGGCAATAGAGAACAGATACACAAAAATCCCTCAGCGTACCCCTACAATCTTGAGAGAGAAAGAGAGCTAGTGGTTTGACTCTGGAATAGTGGACAAATATATAGAGAAATAAGTAAAATTTATAAAAGTAAGAAATGAAAATTAAAACAATTCTGAGGTACCACCTCACACTTATTAGATTGGCTAATATGACAGAAAAGGAAAATGATAAATGTTGGAGAAGACATGGGGAAATAAGACACACTAGTAGAGTTGTGAACTGATCTAACCATTTTGGAGAGCAACTTGGAATGATGCCCAAAGAGCTATAAAACTGCATACCCTTTAACCCAGCAATGCCACTACTAAGTGTGTATCACAAAGAGATTTCTTTTAAAAAGGGAAAAGGATCTATTTGTACAAGGATACTCTTAGCAGCTCTTTTTGTAGTGGCTAAGAATTGAAAATTGCGATATCCATCAACTGGGGAACGGCTAAACAAATTTTGGTATATGATTGTGATAGAATACTATTGTGCCACAAGAAGTGATAAACAGGACGCTTTCAGATAAACCTGGAAAAGACTTACATGAACTGATGCAAAGTAAAGTGAGCAGAACCAGAACACCGTATATGGTAATAGCAATATCATATGATGATCAACTATGAATGACTTAGCTATTCTCAGCAATACAAAGATCCAAAACAATTCCAAAGTATTTATGATATGTCCAGCTCTTCATGACCCCATTTGCAGTTTTCTCGGCAAAGACAGTGGAGTGGTTTTCCATTTCCTTTTCCAGCGCATTTTACAGATGAAGAAACTAAGGCAAACACAGTTAAGCGATTTGCCCAGGATTACACAGCTAAGTAAGTGTCTGAGGCTAGAGTTGAAGCTCAGCATCAACTCAGCATAAAGATGAGTCTTCCTGACTCCAGCCCTGGTGTTCTATCCACTAGCTACAACACAGAGTAGATGAAGGAACTCTGAAAGGACAGGGAATTAGCAGCAAGTGGGACTGGGAAAGGCCTGCAGAACGTAGGATTTAAGCTGAGAGTTGGGGTGAAAGGAAAACGGGGTGGGGGGTGAGAAGCTGGAGTATTCTAGGAATGGAGAGTAGCCAGCACAAAGGCAGAGACCCAAGATGGAGGGACATGTTTGAAAAACAGTAATTAAGGCCATGTGGCTAGATCAGAGACAGAGAATAAAGTATAAGAAGACTGGAAAGGTAGGAAAGGGCCAGGATGTAAGTGAGTGGGTGAATGAATAAGTACAAAACATTCAGTAAGTGCTTAAACTGCACACGGCACTATGCTCAGTACTTGAGACACAAATAGAAAAGTAAGACAATCCCTGCTCACAAGGGACTTTCCAATAGGGAAGGTTTTCAACTACAGGTCAGATGGAAATTCCCATGTTCCTTTTAGGGTACAACAGCAAAGCAGATGGTAACGAATGCCTCTTCTGTAATGTCATTTCCACTGATACCATTCTATCTCGGTTTCTGCTGTGGAACCATTTGACAGGACCAAACAAAGTCTTCGTTGACAAGAACTTTCTCTTCTGGGTCTTCAGGAGGTTTGGCTACAGCACCTGGAAGAGTAGTTGCCAATCTATGTCTCCACCTGTGTCTGAAGAGGGATGGTATTCACATTGCTGGTGGTGATGGTTTGACTTGCCTGGCACAGGCTATTTCTCATCTCACTGTCTTAGGGCCCTGCTGCCTCCACAAGGCTGGCTTGTTGGCCTTTGTGGGTAACAACTGCTTAACAGCTGTTGAGGATGGCTAGCCCCTTCTCCACCGGAGTTGCTTTCCCAAATGATGGTATGAAGGCTGGGCTAGAAGTACGACTGGTGGTCTGCAAGGAGTTGCCACTCCCAAGCTCTTGTACTTATCTGCCTGTAGGAGCAGTAAGTCAGCAGTAGCTGCTGGCAGTGTTAAGGGACACAGGCCCCTTGTGAATGGCTTTAAATACAAAGGATTTTGTATTAGATCCTGGAGGTTAATAGGGAGCCACTGGAGTTCACTGAGCAAGGCGACGACATGGTCAGACTTATGTTTTTTAAAAAATCATCTAGGGGCAGCTAGGTGGCACAGTGGATAGAGCACTGGCCCTGGAGTCAGGAGGACCTGAGTTCAAATCCAGTCTCAGACCAGACACTCGATATTTACTAGCTGTGTGACCCTGGGCAAGTCACTTAACCCCAATTGCCTCACCAAAAAATAAATAAATAAATAATCTCACAACTGAAAATGAATTGGAATAGGAGGGACTTAAGGCAGGGAGATCAATAATCTTTCACAACTATGGCTAGAAGGAAAATTGTTAACAAAAAGAAGGCTAGAGGAATAAAGCAGATAATTTTATGAGATGTTTTTACAGAAATGAAATAAATGCAATAAGTATAAGAAAAGAAGATGGCAAGTGGGGAAAAATATTTGTAGCAAATCTCTTTAATAACCTGGTATCCAACTTACAGGTATTTAACATATTTACCATTATTTAGTGAATTAGTGGTCAAAAGATTTTTTAAAAACAGTACTGAGAGTAATATTTGTGAACTATTAATAACCATATAGAATATTATTCCAAATTGCTAATAATAAAGGAAATACAAATCAAAACAATTCCAAGATTTCACTTCATACTGACAAAAGATGAAAATGGCCAATGTTGTACAGTCACATCATTAGACCACTGGATCATATGATTTCTATTGGTTTGTTATTGATATGGTCAATTATGCTGAAAGTTTTCTAATATTGAACCAGCCCTTCATTCCTGATATAAATCCCACCTGGTCATACTGTATTATCCTGGTAATAAATTTCTTGGGGCAGCTAGGTGGCGCAGTGGATAGAGCACCGGTCCTGGAGTCAGGAGGACCTGAGTCCAAACTCGGCTTCAGACACATTTACTAGCTGTGTGACCCTGGGCAAGTCATTTAACCCCACTCCCCAGCCAAGAAAAAAACTGGAAAAAAATAAATTTCTGTATTCTCTTTGCTAATATTTTATTTCAAATTTTTGTATCAATATTCATTAGTGAATTTGGTCTATAATTTTCTTTCTCGGTTTTTGCTCTTCCTGGTTTAATTATCAGTACCACATTTGTGTAATAAAAAGAATTTGGTAGGACCCCTTCTTCGCCTAGTTTTCCAAATAGTTTATATAATATTGGAATTAATTGTTGTTTAAATGTTTGGTAGAAATTCCATCCGGCTCTGGAGATTTTATTCTTACAAAGTTCAATGGTGGCTTGTTCAATTTCTTTTTTCTGAAATGGGGCTATTTAAGCATTTTATTACCTTTTCTGTTAAACTGGTCAATTTATATTTTTGTAAAT